TCATCAAGTATAAACTACTTGTGCAAGAGTGTTATGGATTATACGAAGTGACATCATGAACCAGAAATAAATGTAAGTTTCGTCAAGCCTTAAAAATATCGAAAATCAGGAATAGGAACTTGCTACAGTTGAAAAAGAATGTTGATAATCTGAAATTCAAACATATGGAGACAAGATTATGCATCCTAGGATTGCCAAGGAGCCACAAAGTCGTCCAGCCTTTCAGTTGTACGTCTCAAGATGCATGATTCTGGCACAAGGACCACAAAAAAGACATCGTTTCAACTTCTTTCTTGCTCTTCACATATAGCTTAAAGATAAAAAAAAAATGCTAAACACTTAAAATAAGAAGAGAGAAGCTCTTATGATCTGTATTTCATTTGCTTAAAGCATCATGCTGACCAGTAATCCTACTAGTGTTTAGAACAATGCATACATATCAAGTGTGAGTTGTTCTCAATTAGACCAATCAAACACAAGCTAGAATCAAATTCTCATGTAAAGTTCGCACCTTTGTGCAATTAGACCAATTTAAAAACAAACTAGAACAAATCTCACAGTCGCTTATGCCCTGCAATTGCTACAAGGTGAGCTTGAATTTCCAAAATGGGGGTGACTCAGCATATTATCACCAGAATCAACATCCTTATCCGCGAAGAAAACCTTAAAAAAACCCCTAAATTTAAAAGCCCGTCTCCAATTATCCCAAAAAACCCACCTATCATCCATTAAATTATCTAATTATACCAAAAACCCACTAAATTATCAAACTTGACCCCAAAAAGAACCAAAATAAAAACGAAAATAACAGATACGGACCACAGTAACATTTGATTCAACGAAAAATAACCAACATCGACCCGCACAGGAAACCCTAGATCCAAAGCATCCTGTGAAATTAATAACTGAAAAAGAGACAAAAATGAAAAAAGAGCCATGGGATTGGAAAAATTACTGGGCTTCTCAGGCTTGCCATCCACCCATTTGGAAACTGAGAAATGGACCTTCTCTCGAGACAGAGCTTCGGTCCTACGGGGCTCCTTGAGGCAATTCCTGACCAAATTCGCGCACAAATTCGAATAGGTGATGTATGTCATCCCGGCTGCCCTCCAGAACGGCACCGCTGCATTTGACGCCATGGCCTGCTCTCTCTTTCTCTCTCCTTTCTCAGCTACAGACTCCAATATCCCTTAAAGCGACACCGTTTCTACCGTGGCTTCTTCTTTTTCTCAAACCAGTGAAGGAAATACGATACTACTGAACTGAATAATACTCAAACTCTACTAAAATGAACCGCTCCAAACACGAGTACCGGATCGGGTCTCTTGTAGCTCGCGTAGGAAGGGGACTCCAAAGTCCGCACGCTATAGGGTATATACTCTCTCTTTTTATTTATTTATTTATTTTTGAAACAACACCTAGAGTTGTAAAAAAAGTCCAAAATCCAATAACCCATCCAACTTGTCCATTAATTTTAAAGGATAGATTGGCTCAGTTGGATTATAGATTTTGTTGGATTGGATAAAAACAAGTCAACTTATTTACTAGGTGGATTTGATTATTTATTTGAGCACCCAATATTCAACTTGTTTAAAAATAATTCAAAACAATAAACACAAGATTCAATACACATTTGTCCGACCACTTATATTTAGATATGTGTTAACAATTTATTGACCAATTTGTATTCAAAATTCTCATATATAGTTTTTCAATCAAAATTTTATTTAAAAGAAAAAAGAAACTTGCAATAAAAACTCATGCTTATTTTACCTTTACAATAATAGTTAAACTTGCTCAACATTTATAATAATTTATTATGCCTTTTAAGAGTATGTTGTTTTCCTCCCTCCCTTTTATCCTCTTTTTTTTTTATTGTTGTTCTCCAATTGCTACTTACTTCTATCCGTTAATATTTTGTATACCTAGAATAGAATTTTAAATTTATTTTAATTGCATTCTTTTACTTTTCTCTAACTTGTTTTATTTTATTGCTAATAATTCCTCATTAATATTATAATACAACAAATTATACGTCTCTTAATTACATTTTCGAGCATAATATAATCTAGCATTCAATAATTTAAATACACATAATATTACAACTTACAATAGAGCATATATGAATAGTAAAAGTGTTAAATAAGTTGTGACAAAAATAAATTTCAATCAATTAGTGGTATTAAAAAGTATAAAGTAAACAATTTTTTTTAGTTAATCTATTTAATGTACAATTTATTGTCTAAAATTCACAATACAAGCAATATAAAATATTATTCTATTTATGATGTGCTTCCAAGGAGTTTAAAAAGTGAGTGTGGGTTTGTGTATGTGAAAGTGTGTTAGTGTGTGAAAATTATTTATGTATGTGGAAAAAAATCTTTTCATATGTGTAAATGTATAAGAGTGTTTATGTATCACAATGTAGTTGGGTCATATTTGAGTCATGAATTTGAGATGACACAGTCCAAAATCAATCTATTCTAAAGTTGAACGGGTTGGGTATAAACTATTTACATGAAAATTCAATATCAACCCGCCCAACCCACCCCAATTGCTAGTATATATAGAACATTTTGACTAGGACTTGTGATATTAGTATCAGTTATACAAGAATAAAATAGGTAAATAATATTTGCACTTTAAAATAAATCTTTGCATTTCATCTTGTGAACGCAAAAGAAATGCTAAAGCAGAATGCTACGAGTTAGTATTTTTGGAATGTAAATATCGCTTATGTTAAAGGGTCTATCTAACCCTATGGGCAACCGTTAAGATATATTTCATGTGTCATATTTTTTAAAATGTAATATTAATTAGGGAAAGTAAATTAATACAAGAGAGGGTAGGTGAGATTAAATTAAAATATATTTCAGGTGTCATCTTTTTTAAATGTAATATTAATTAGGGAAAGTAAATAAATACAAGGGAGAGTAGGTAAGAATAAATAAGAAAGTATATAAATGTAAGGAATGGTAATAATTGTTAGTATGTGTATATATATTATAGGTTTGGTGAATGTTAAGTAGGTTAATAAGTGCTCCAACGGCAACTACTAGAAAAAATCCATGTTAAAATAAGCATTTGGTTAATGAGTGCCCTCTAAGAATGAAACTAATTTGGAAAAATAATGAGTGCCCTCGAGGCACTCAATTGGTAATAGTGAAACTAATTTGGAAATATATCTAAGTGTGGCAGAACCAATAAATGTGATTATATGCATTCATATGGTACCATGTTAAGTGTAATTTAAATGTCTTGCCAAATGTCTCCGAGGCATTCGGTTAAAAAATCTTTAAAACAAATCATACTATACGTGTATAGATCTTTTCCCACTAAGAAATCCATTTGTAAATAAATAAAACTACTCGTGCTTAGAAATCTTTTTACAAAAGAATCCAGTACCAGGTGAAGGTAAAGTGTAGTAAGCTCGAAACTACTCCGGTTTAATACTTGTTTACCGAGCAAACAGTTAGTAACTACAGTAATAAAGGGATAGTTGGATTAGATAGTAAAGTACGAGAGATTGTAAATAAAAGATTTTGAATTAAAAATCTTCCACTTATAAAAAAGATACAATAATAAGGGATAGACCAATTATTTGTCATAGTCAAACGCCAAAATTGTAAAATTCCCGGTCCAACATCAAGAAAGTGATTTACTAGTTTCCAAATGAAGCTTTTGACAATTTTCTGAAGTCTTGAGTGCAAAATCTCTAACATCTTCCATTAACCATGTAGCATGCAAGCACTAAGAACCAATGTTGTTAGACCCGAATTGGATCGACCGGTTCGATCAATCTAATCGTGAACCGGCCTTCTTTCGAACTAGTATGTAGTATAAAATCGCTTTTGTAAAAAATCAATTAAAACCATAAAAAACCGGCTTAATTAGTGACTCGATTCAATTTGTTAGACCAATCTGATCGTGAACCGGCCTTCTTTCGAACTAGTATGTAGTATAAAACCACTTTTGTAAAAAATCAATTAAAACCATAAAAAATCGGCTTAATTAGTGACCCGATTCAATTTGTTAGACCAATCTGATCGTGAACCGGCCTTCTTTCGAACTAGTATGTAGTATAAAACCACTTTTGTAAAAAATCAATTAAAACCATAAAAAATCGGCTTAATTAGTGACCCAATTCAATTTGTTAACCTGGTTCTCAAAAATTTCTTTCTTCTTTTCCCCAAACATAATTTGAATTATCTAAATTGTACACTTTCATTTATTAATAGAAATAAGAAAACGTCATCCATTTAGTGTAAATATCAAAATCACTCGCTTTTCTAAATAATCTTTAAATCAAAATGTTTTCATCATTATGATCTTATTAATTTAGCATCAGTGATTCCAACTTGCATTAATTTGTTTTAATTTAGTTTTTTCAAGTAATTTTGGAGAATGGACATATTTTAACCATGAATTTACATTTTTATATATAATTGTTAGGTGTATATTTGATTGCAAGTCTAATATTTTTGGAACATTTTTCATGATTGGCCAAATATAACCAAGAACTTAATTTCAATATTTCTAAAACTTAAAAAAATATATAATAATTATAATATCATGCTGACGTCAGCGAATTTTTGAGAACGGTCCGACCGATCGAACCAGTTGACCCCCGACCCAATAGTTTAGCCGAATCGCTACTCGGTCCGAGTTTAACGACATTGCTAAGAACAGCATTAGAGTGTCAAACTTCCTTTTGCAAATCAATGTCAAACTTCCCACCTCTTTAAAATAATTTTTTAAAAAAAAAAATAAAGAAAATGTCAAACCCCTGTCAAAAATGGAAAATATTTAAATATCTGTCAGAAACCACTCTATTGACATTATTAATCGTTGCAATAATAACAACATAGTCTGAATACAAATTGGAATTTACCTGTAAAGATGTTTTTTTTTCTTCATTTTTAAATGATTTCCTGTTACCCAAGTACTATAAATAAAGCCGGGCACCCAATCTCTATAGTCTATACTATGCTCAACTTATTTCATCAAGTCAAACAATCCTTTTCTGCCATCATGGCCCTAAGGCCATCTACCAACTTATTCTTAACACTGATGCTCAATTTGCTTGCCATTTTTCCTCCAATGGCAATGGCTAGTGATGCTGATATCTTGACAGATTTTAATCTTCCACCAAATGTATCAAATGTGGATGCTACATTTTTCACGTATACTGCTGCAAGATCACTTGTAGGAGCACAGCCACCGACGGCCCTGAATTTTCTCTTTGCTGACAAAACTAGCTTCCCTGCCCTGGATGGCCAAGGTGTTTCCTTAGCCGTCTTGCGAATGCCTGGAGGTGCTGTCAACCCTCCACACAGCCATCCGCGCGCGACCGAGCTCCTTCTGCTCATTTCTGGCTATTTGGAAGTGGGATTTATAGATTCAACAAATAAGCTCTTCAATCAAACACTAAATGCTGGTGACATGTATGTGTTTCCTAAGGGACTCGTGCATTATCAGTTCAATTATGCACCTGATGTTCCTGCCATTTCTGTTTCTGCCTTTGGAAGTGCAAATCCTGGCCTTGTGTCCATTCCTTCCAATTTGTTCCAAACCGATATTGAGGACAGAATCTTGGCTTGGTCATTCAAAACTGATATCCCTACCATTCAGAGGATCAAGGCTAGCGTTCAGGGTAGCCCCCAAGCATAGAAATTGGCTGACAACTTCAAGATTTTGCAAACTTATAAAGAGAACAAATATTGTCTGAAATTTCTCTTTATATATCGATTGCGTACCAGTCACCATGTTGTTGGGGTTATTGCATCTATACTAGTTGTATCCCTTTACAGTTTAGAAAGAAAGATAACTCTCTGAAACTTTATCAGGGAGCAGTTTAAATTTATCGAATTTGATGCCAAAAGATTAATCAGATTGGCCGAGCAAATTTCTGCATTTTAACTTTTAAGGTTTAGATTGAAATTTAACATCAAAACAGATCGAAAAATCTATGTCATTAGAGCTCGTAACGGTTGTTCATCTCTGTTGGATCCGGCACGAAACATTAGATACGCCTAAGTTCCGGGGAGTAAAAACCAAAAAATGGGTCAGCACAATTAATGCAGTGCTTTTCTTTTTCCTACTTTTAAAATAATTTGGATGGTTTCGACGCAGAAAAAAGATTTCTTTCAAACACTTGAAAAACTTTTTTTTTTTTCGTTTTCTGGGGTTGTAAAAGTTTAGCAGGAGAGGAGCAAGCACATTCCAAGGCCTAATTCACGTATCTAACAGCGGTAAAAGCTAATAAAAATATCGTTCAAAATTCTCCATAGAAACTATAAGTATTCTAATAATAGAGAAACAATGGACGGTTAATTTAAGATTTTTTTAGCTTTTTCTTCTTTATGCGACTGGTGTGGCATGTCCAGCTGGATCCTTTGAAGTTCCGAGCGCGACCACAAAGGACTTTCGACCTAGTCAAGTATGAATTGACAATTCATTTGAATTTTAAATTAATGGTCGAGATCAATTCGAACTCGATTAGAACGTTCTCGACCGTAAAATTTATTAACCTCGACCTAGTCAAACGCGTATTGACAATTTAGTTGAATTTTAAATTAATGACTGAGTTCAATTCGAACTCGACTAGAATCTAGAACGACCTCGATTGTCAAATTTATTAACTAGGTTGCATTGCGGGGATCCAAGTCGGTCGTGGTAACTCATCATAAACAGCTGAAACAAGTTATTCAAAGACATTTATAAAGAGATGGAATTTTTTTTTCTAAAAGCTCAAAATTTTATTTCATCAGAAAACCAGAATTTTGTGCATGTTACAGATCTAGAGTGAAAAAAAATGGAATGATCAAATCTCCAACTGAGGCTTAGCTCCCTATTTTTCTTTGCCTTAGCCACTTTTCTCCAGATCTAGAGTAAAAACTAGATTGATCAAATGCCCAATTGAGGCTTAGCTCCCACTTTTTCTTGTCCTTAACCATTTTTCTCCAATTGTGCACTGCATGGCAAACATCTTGAACAATCACAGCTAGGGACAGCTTACTAAGCAAATTTGGAAAAAGATTTGGACTTTGCATAACCGCTCCTCCAAGCTATTTCATCACTCAATCCATTGATCCAACAGCACCACGATACACAGCATTAGTAGCAGACACAAAATGTTGACAAAACGACACCTATAATTTTAAAAATCTTAGAAAAAATGCACACACACACACAAAATCTATTCTTTCAATACTGCATCCCGCGTAGAAAAGATATGAAGGCTGGTCCATAAATTATTTGCGAAATTCAGTTCAGTCGGAAAAAGAAAAAAAAATAAAGAAATTAAATTTGGTCCTAGTCTGTATCACAGTAATCGAATGCAAAACAAGAGCCTCAATTTTCAGTTTCCACTAAACCAATTATCTATTTCAATTGCTATATATTGTCACAGGGCATAAAATTGGTGGAAACAAGTAATATAACACCAATGATTGTTGAGTCAAGTTGGTAAAAAAATTTGATGCCCCTTAACTAAGATTTTATGCCTACAATAAAAGTGCATAAAAAATTGGTTGCCTTTGATGTTGAAAGGGGTACTCATTATTTAATGGACAAAAAAAGCACGTAAATCCAGCTTAAATATACATACAAAGGTAAAACAACGAACTGGTCTATTCCCTCTATCTCATAAAGAAAAAAAAAGTCTACTTCTATTTTCACACAAATATGAGAAGTGCAAGGTAATATGGTTAATGCAATAATTTTTTATTTTTATTTTTTTTGTAAATATTCCTCCGTTATTCTATTCAAAGTAGTTGTTCATGTTCCTAAGTCATTATTGGAATTTTTCACATTTTCAATACTAGATGACATCAGAGAAATCATTTATTACTTGCACTTATTTCAGAAAAAAATAAAGAACAAATTTTTACATGAATATAAGGATACCGAAGGCGGTTATGGGTCCTTCCTCTGAATTGGTACTTTTTCTTGTCTCTCTTGAATTTATTCGGCCGCGAATTTTGTTGTTTTGCCGACCCGATTGATATACGTACGTCTGAATTTGTTCACCTGAAAAGGTCAAAAAAACAGAGAAGGATAATCCAAACTCAATAACACGAAATTTGAGGTTCCTTCCTAGGAAAAGAATAAACAAAAAAAAAAAGAAGAGGAGAATCCTAAACTTGGAGGCCACAATTAATACACTTGGGGTTATATAAGCTGGCGATTTACTATCATTTATTTTATCTTCTAGGAAAACATTACTGTCTAAATTTGTTATCCCCCCCCCCCTCCCCCTTTTCCCAAAAAAAAAAAAGAAAAATGAAAGACTTTCCCTAAGAGCTTATCCCACTAAATTCTTTAACATTTTACTTCAGATAACGTTAAATACGTTGAATTTCTACATTAAATCCATGATAAGAATTTCCGCGGTTTCCATTTGAGAAATCAGTCCACATCAAGCCATCAACAGCAAACATAAATTCGAGTTTCACAAAAACAGCTTAAAGTCGAATGTGTTGTAGTAGTTTGAACTTTTGAATGGTAACAGCTGAGCAGTGCTAATCTGCTGTATCAACATTATAAAGGGATAATTGCAGAAACCTCCCCTGAGGAGGTTTTTGATACTAGCACTTACCTCCCCTGTGGTTTAAGAAATAACACAAGGCTGCCCTAAGAGGAAATTGGGGCCTATTGCTGACAAAAGATTATGGGAATTTGCCTTTATATCCTAATTATTTGGAGAAACCTAATGAACGAATTTTGCAAAAGAAACATGTTTCTTGTCAACAAATTAAGTAACTAATTAAACTACCTGTTAGTTCTACCATGTTGCATAACAAAAATATAAGTTGGGGTTGTTTTCACTCTAAAAAATCTTCAATGTTGCCTTTCGACAATAGCTGCAATATTTGTTCTTAATTGTGAAAGATGTTGGGGAGTTTTATGATCCTTCCCTATGGCTTGAAGAAGCCATTCTCTTTGCTGCAACACTTCACCTCAAACTGCCAATCTAAACTCAATCAAAGTAGCTATCTTACCCTCACAAACAACCACACACATTGCTAATAGAGAGTTTTACGTGTCAAGTTCATTCTTCATAAGCTGTTGCAATAACTTGCAAATCTAGCCGTTACTTAGTTCATGATACTTTAGTTGTTTTATGTGAAGTAAAAGGATTTGCACTTATACCCCCTGAAATTTATTAATTGTTAATTGCTTTGTGGTATTTTGTCATTCCTTTGCCAATATTATTTGGCATGCAGCACAAAGAGCACATTGGCACAACTTTCTGATCTCATTTCTTAAAACAATATTTTAATGGCACTTTTTTCTAGCTTGGGTTGAATATGCATCAGAATTAGTAAGTTCAAAGAAGGTCAGTGCTATTTCTTAAACTATATAAGAGGTGAGTGCTAGTGTCCGAAACTTCAGGGGAGGTTTTTGCAATTTTTTCTATTATAAATATGTATTAATATTAAGATAATAGTTGTATCAGAGATGCTGTAATTTCCAAGATCACAAATGCGACGCAAACGTCTACGTCTGAGATTTCAAGAAGTTGCGAAAGTGTTCACTTTTCGGGGGCGACTATATCTAAAATCTAAGAATGAGGTTACGATCAGATTGAAAGATTAATTTATATTAAAACACTGGGAATGGATTATAGTAATCTCAAAGCCAGAATTTTTGTAATCTTGGTAACCTTTTTTTCTTAATATTATAAACTTGTAGGTGTAACTAGATGACACTCGAAATCCTTGGCCATGAAACTACATGTGATGATAAATGGTAGCTGGTCCATGAATTGATGACAAAACCATACATCATGAAACGACTGCAGTTGTCCGAGCTCGCTTAAGTCCAACTCGACAGCTGGGATCAATCCGACAGGAACCGTAATAGAATGTGAAAATTCTCAGTATTTTTTTTTTTTTAACTCAAGGGTACACCAACCTTTCGACCAAACTAATTCTCTAAAAGAATGTAGATCTTTGCCCCAAGAATGCATAGCGAGACAATACATAAGAATCGATCACGAGACCTGCTGATAACTACTAGGTTACGGAACCAATCGGACTACCAGGAGAGCTCTTAGTATTTCATTTTAAATTCAAAAAATTAGGTAAAATCTTGACATCTACTAAAACCAGTCAAAGGTTAATAATGACTCCAATAGACTATTATGGTCAATAGGTTTCAGTTCTATTAAACGTTTCATGATAAGTACTTACTAATTTTTGGCCTTTTGAATTTCAACAGATTCTAAAATTAGTAAACTAAGTAACCAAATTATTACTGCTGGTATTCTTAATTAGTTCACAAGTTTGATAAAGTTAAATATCACTTTTGCCTGTAAGTGTCAATGGCAGAACTAAGAGTGGTAAGTCATAAGCCCTTTGGTTCATTTCCAGATCAAGGATATGGGCATCCAACTGATTAAGGAACCACATCCCATCAAAAACATGTATCAGTCTTAATCAATTGCAGTAAAATTGTAACTAATCTGGTTAAGTTCCGAATATTAATGTTGTCTACATAAAATCTTGCTGGATAAACTAAGAAAAATAAAAACATCAACAACAACATGAGGAAAATGCACAGCTTGCATTTAGATAGAGGAAGAGTACTGGAATGGACGTGGCATTTAGAGTAAATGCAGACCAACAACCTTGGTGGTAAAGATTTAATGTGTTTTCTGATATTGGGCAGACCTTTGAGAAATAGACAGGGAGCAAACACAGTGCTTGATAAATTGTCCAAATTGAGCTCTTACAAACCAGAATTAATCTTATTTTCCCCATATTTCGAACTTGTGGTTCACAATCTAAACTTTTATTTTGAGCAATTTGGATGTGATAATTCACATTCTAAACGTTTACCTTGGCAACAATTTTTAGCAATTTAGGGTGCAAATTATCGACTCCA